CAGAGCAGCTGTATGAAGCCAAAGGACCAAGAGTGTCAGGAGAAATGTCTTAACCAAAGCTGATGACTTAGATTCAGGAAATTCGGTTTCAGCCAGATTTTTTTGTCCATCAGACAGCTCAGGAGTGATTTGAATGAATTAATCGAACCTGGCTTGATAGGCAGGTAGACCTGATTGTCGTCAGCAAAACAGTGGAAAAGTATCTTATATTTCCTAAAAATGGACCCCAGAGGCAACATATAAAGATTAAAAAGCAGAGGGCCTAGGATAGAGCCTTGCGGTGCCCCACAAGTCAGAGGAGCTGAAGAAGAGGAGCTACCGTATCTCCTAAATGAACAGAAAAACTCCTATTTGTCAAGTAGGATCTAAACCAGAATAAAACTGTGCCTTTGATACCAACCAGCTGCTCTAATCGTGACAGTATGATTTTAAGATCAATGGTATCAAAGGCAGCAGAAAGATTTAAAAGCACCAAAACAACAGAGTTTCCTGAACAACTGTTAATAGAAGATCATTAAAAACTCTTAAAAGGGATTTAAAACCAGACTGGAACAGTTCACCAACATTATTGTGTTAAAAAACCTTGGAGTTGGATAAAAACAACTTTCTCTAAAACCTTCAGGAAACCTTCAGGATGACAATGTGTCAATACACACAGCAAGACTGCTGAAAGATTGGTTTGATGAACATGAAAGTGAAGTTGAACATCTCCCTTGGCCTGCACAGTCACCAGATTTTGCCATAAAAATGTGCGGTCCCTCACGCCAGCTCTGACCCATGCGTACACTCATTTTGGAGATGTGAAGCTGCGACACAGATGGTGAAGTGAGGAATTATAGCCACACTGCGTCATGATTACTGTCATATATTTAATTTAACTTCATAATCAAACTTAGATTTTACTCAACTTTATAGCTTTCTTAACAGTTTTATTTATGCTTCTGCTGCTGAGCCATAAGGACCTTTGAAATAAAAAAAAACTTAAATCTTAGTTCACGCATCTCCATTCATCTCCTTCCTCCTCAGATGACCCTGACCCACAGACCCCTCCCTGACAAGAGACATTTCAACAGCACGACAGCAAAAGTCACGCTTTGGGTACACACGCAGGGCGTGCCCACCCTCGCCAGCGTGGATGCTATAAAAAGTCCACTTTTTAAAGTCCGTATTTGTCACGCGTGTGAGGCTGTAGTGTGAGGTGGTGAGGACACGGTCAGCTGCAGATAACAAAGTAGGCAGGAGGGGGAGGACGTGGTGAACTTATTTGTAATTTTATCTGACTTATTTCACTTTATTTATTGTATTTATCGTCCTGCAGGCTCTGCAAGAAAATTAATTTGAAGCTGAGTWTTTGAAAACAATTGCTAGATTACTCTAAATGTCTGTAAACCTGAAAAATGAGGGAAAATCTGTGTCAATTACAGACATTCTGTTCACGTGAGCAGCTGTCAGCACCTGTCATCCTCCAGACACACGACGGAGCGTGTCTGAGTCGGCCAATCACTTTTGTTGGCATTGATCAGCTGACTGATTTAAATACATCTT